AAAAAAAAAAAAAAAAAAAAAACTTTTGTTAACACATATTTTACATTTTTTTTTTTTAATAATTTGCTATTTATTTTGAGTCTATTTTTTTTTAATAAAACTATTTCTTTTTATACAGTGTGTATCTCTATGTAATAAACACTTCAAATATAGGTGTTAACATTAACTGTGCGGGCGTCAAATTTTTCTCCACAAGACAACTATATCGACTAACATTTCATAAACCCATGTTATTATCGATAGCTAAAAAATAACTTTTTCTAATAATATTATTTATTATTACATTGCTTGATAAAATATTACATAAAATAATACATTACTCAGCAATAGGGGACACGTGCCTCTGTACCCCCTTCTAAATACGCCACTGTATATAACTAACAAAAGCCAAAAAAAATTATTATTTTAAGAAAAATTAAGTGGCTAGTATTAGATTTACTCAGTATTTTTATTACTAACTTAAATGTTTTAATGTTAAATTAAAAATAATACAAACAATATTGAAGTACTCAATTAAATTACATTTTTTTTTTATGGTTTTCGTTAAAAAAGTGATTTCTTTTTTATTGTATTTTTTTATATATATTTAGATATTTGGCGAAAAAGAAAATACTGTATATTACGGCTATGGAAAAAAATCATTTGAAACTAATGGTAAAATGACATAAATTTGAAATAAATATAAATAAAAATAACACTGTAACTTTCTTTTTTTGTTTTTTATGAATTATAGAAGAAGGTCAAAAAAGTTTACAAGAATATATTGCAAATTTTGATGACGATGAAATTATTCTCTTAAATCCAATTGAAGTATTATTTTTATAACATTTAATTTTATTAGACTATTAAATTTATGTTTCGCCATTTCAATTATATCACTATTCTCTGAACTTTTGAAATACCAAATTAAAAAATTTCTATAGCATTCATCTAATGAATAAATAACACAAGTCGAAAAAAATATGAAATTTTTAAGCAAAATTTAAGATTAAATTAATCTAAAGTTAAGGTGTCTGGGTACCGACCGCTTTTTAGTCAAAAACAACCCGTTTTTGTTCCATCAGTACGACGAAACTACTGATGCGATAAGAATTCTGAAAACATATCTGAATTCAGCATCATGTCACTTAGGTATCGGTCAGGCCATATTTTTGAAATTTTGATGTTTTTAATCCTTTAGTACAGTTTACATTTTCGAATAATTTTAAAATTTTCAAAATAAATTTTTACGTTGAAGGAATCACAATTTCGAAAAAGTGGCCTGACCGATACCTTAGTGACATGATACTAAAGTCAAATTTGTTTTCAGAATTCTTATCGCATCAGTAGTTTTATCGTACTGATGGATCAAAAACGGGTTGTTTTGTACGCTCAAACTAATGGTTTTCAAACAGTAGTTGTTTATATTTGACATGCTCGTGCATTATCCGTAGCAGCTATTTTATTGCCCATAGAGTTGCATATAATACCGACTGCCTAAAAATAGTTACAAATGTATACTTGATATTATACCCGTATATATGATATTTGATTATTTGCAAAGCTATCATTGCATATTAAGAAACAAATTTTGTTGTTATATTCCTATATAAGTGTCGCTAAAAGAATGGGGAGTCATAAAAAAATATCGCTTTCAAAAAAATAAAATAAAAATAGAGGTAATATATTAAAATTATATAAGTGGGGTAAAAAAAAAAAATCTTGTGAGGTACGTATAAATTAAAATAATTTTCATACACTTTCTTAGTTTCGATAGAAAACTGAGAAAGTAATAGTTTTACTATGATGTGTTTTTTGCTTGTGTCTATCTATATCTATACCTACTGGATTGTAATTGTTCAACGATATGCTAAAAGATGAAAAAATATATCTTGTTGATGTATTTAGCATTATATTTTAATAATTTTCTTTTAAATCTGACACAATAACGTGTTTTTCTCAGTCGCACACTATGTTATCAAACTAAATCTAACACTAAGTAACTGATGTTTTTGACTTCCCAAAAGAACAGGCTTATAAAACTTAAATATTTTAGTGTGTAAATAATGTAATTTTATAAATTGAATTCTTATAATTAAAATTAGTTTTTTTATAGTTTTATAACTTCAAAATAATCGACGTAGAACTCATATGATTTAACTTGTTTTTTATAAATATTTAGCTTTTCTTACTCGTCGAAAATAAATAGTTTAATTATTTTTATAATCAATTAAAACTTGAAATCATGACGTGTCTATAAGTATTTACAGTGAGGCTGGTGCTAAATTATAGTTTTTATACTATATAAAATAAAATATTTCAACAAACCTATTATATCTAAAATTAAATATTTAACTGCTTAAGATCATATTGAAATATTTATTTTCATTAAATTTTTAATTATTAAAATCACTCTATTGAAAAATTAAGTTTTTTGAAATATGACGTTGAAAAGAGTAAATAATATCTTTGTATTTAATTGAAACATGAAAAAAAAATCTCAATCTAATTAATATTTAAAAGAAAATCTAGTGTTTATCGTTTAATCATTAAAAAAAAAAACAAAGTTTGAAATGTAAATTTATAATTTTTCTAGTAACAATAAATTACTTTGATATTCAATATATTTAGGGCCGTATTACAGCCTAAACTGACAAGTCAGCTGCCTTATTTTGATTATTATATTATTATTATATTGATATGTCAGATAGCCATATTTCTTTTTCAATAGATACTCGGATAATGTTTTATTTAATATTACACGAAAGTGGAACCGATGCCTATATATGTCGGGGTTGGATTGATCTACCCATTGATATAAAATAATGGTAGTTAGGAAAAATTATACGGAAGCTTACCCTATAAAATTCCCGTAGAAAATTTTTTCTAACATATAACTTTCAGAACTCTGTTTGAAAACTATACCAACTCTTCCTATAATAAATTTCTAAATGTGTTACTGAAGAGAGTCACAAATTTGAGGACTGCCTAGGGTTCCTGAGACTATAAGTCTAGTATTGATTATAATATGTTTTATACTATAGTACTATATATTATTTTATGGAACATATCGAGTTTTATCTAAAATTATTTCGTAAAATTAAATTAAATTTAAATTTAAAATTTTATTTTTAGTATGAAAATAGTTTGGATTCTGAGTCTAATAAAGAGGTATTTTTATTATGTTTTAAATGTTAAATTAAAGATAAATTACCTAAATTATTTTCTATGTTATTTCAAAGAACTAGTTTTTATTATTACAACATTAAATTTCTAATAAGAAATACAAATTTCTGCTACCAGAATGAGCAGTATTTTCACTAAAGAAAAATACTAAAATGATCAGCTTTATATCTATTTATTTCCGAATTTACCATACTGCACAGCGTGGTGACCCTCTTTCACATGATTAAGGGTTAAAGCTGTTTTTTGGCTAGGTCAATAATGGACGAGACAGGTATTATGGCCAATTTAATCCAAAGACCAGACACCACCATTGAAAAAATCACAAGAAATTAGGAACCCTGGAAATCGAACCCGGGACCCCGTACGCTGAAACATACGTTTATACTCACTAGGCCATTTTTACAAAAAAATTATAAAATAGGAGTACAAAAAAAAAAATAATATTTTCTAGGTGAGAATAACAGCTTACTGTAATATTAAAATAAATGTATTCATAATAGTCAATTGTATAGAGAAATTAATAGCAACAATATTAACATATAAAATTAATTTAGAGTGTCTTAAATCTTTAAAATTAGTGAATAGTTCATAATTTTATTTTTTGTGTAATAATTAATTATTTGCTTGGTTATTAATAATTATACTAATTTAATTAATTTTTTTCTTAGTTTATACAAGATTTAGATGATGTAAGTATATGAGCAAAAAAAAAACAAATGTTCTATTTTTTTAAATTTTAGCTGATATATACTCTAAAACTCTGAGAAATTAATTTTCAACAAAAATTTAACATTATTGTATGCTAGACTTTTTTAATATTTACTGTTTTATGAAACAACAAAAATTGCAAACAAAACTCATATATTATAGAAATTTAAGTTGGGAAAAATTTAATTATAAATTATGTTAAGAGTTCAATTTTTAAAAATCATCCTACTTATAAATTTAGTGTTGACTTAATTTTAAAAAAATTATAATTTAAAGTATTATGCAAACATAACAGTTATACAAGTTATAAGAATTTTACATGTAGTTGCTCACTTCCTTTCAGCAAGAGCATGTGATGTAGGTGAAGAGTTCTTAAAAATGAAACAATCCTATAAGTATTCTTAAACTAATATTTAGTAATTCATTTTACCAGTACTAGAATATTGGAATAATTTTACTTAAGTTCTTTTTAATTATATTGACTAGCAAATTGATTAAAATTAATATTTAATGATTTACTTAGTTCAACAGCTACATTTGGGCAGCTTTTTATATCACAGGACTTATTACAATCTGATTTAATTGCATTGATATTTTTTTATACCTCGTATTATAATCATACTTACAAGTATATAGTCATTATTTTTGTAAGCTAGTAGTAGTAAACATCTCAACATAGTCATACTCTATCAAAATTAAACATATTAATAAATTTGTATGTTAGTATAAAGTTATTTAATATAAATAAAATGGTTATAACTCCCTCAAAACCCCACCAAATTGCATCATAACAATTACTTATTATTACTATTAAATATTCATTTAAATATCAAACTGTAAAAAAGTGATCGTGAGATACACTGCTCAAGAAGCGAATATATTTAATAGTTTGAAAAACTTGACTTATTTAAAATTTTTCATTACAAATGAAATTAATAAGTTATTTTACACTATTATTAACGCAAATTTTAGTAATAAAAATGTTCATTTACTTAGTATTAGATTATATTCCATAATTATTAAAGAATTATTTAATTTTAATTAATATTAAATATTATTTAAGATTTATTACGACTCAGAATGGTTATCAGAAGAGGTAAGAACAAAAAAAAATTTTAATTATTTAAAGAAAATACAAAAACAAAACCTATTTAAAATGAACTCATGTTTTATAGTTTCAGTTATTAGATAGTTCTTACTTAAAGTTATACATATTTTTAATACTCTTGATTTTTTCATAGTTGAAATCCTATAAGATATTTAGTATAAAAATCTCAAATAAAATGTACATGTTCTTATTAATTGTATTTTTTTTCTAGATTTCTGATCAAGAACTAGCCAATTTCGAACTTGAAAACTTATCAATCTAACCTAAAGAAACGTGTTCGATTAAGAAAAAATTAATTGAATATTTTAATGTATTTAAATTAGAGGAAAATAAATATTTTTAAATAAATTATAATCTAAATTAATAATTTGTCATGAATGATATAAACTTTACATTGCCATCTCATATAGGAGAAAGAAGAAAAAAAATGTCTGTTGCTATGTAAAACAACAATTTAAAATGAGCCATTTTTACCCAAAATGCTATAAATTTAGCTTTAATACCCAATAACTACGCGAAATCAAAATTTCAGATAGTTTTTTTTCATCTCAAAGTACATTGTATTAGTTTTATTTCGATGTATGTTTAAAAAAAAGACAGTTTATTCGGAACAATATTAAAAATTGAAAAAAATAATTTTGATATTATTTATATCAAAGTATTTGGCCTCCTAAATACTTTGGTTAATGATTGGATTTTCAAAAAAAATATGTTGTCGGCAAGGTAACTTGTTGAAGTATTATCAATACGAATTTCGCAATAAATAATCCAGTTTACAAAAAGTTATTTCAATATAAAGTGAAAATTAAAAATATTAATGTTTTATAACAATTGTAATGGCTTTGAACATTATCTTCTTACGGGTATTTTAGGGAATTTTTAGGTACTATTTGTGATATTTTGACGTATTGTTAAGTTAAATTGGTCCGGAGTTATCGTGTATAATGACACAAAAAAAAAAAAAAAAA